CCTCTCCTCTCCTCTCCTCTCTCCTCTCCTCTCCTCTTCTCTCCTCTCCCGTCTTCTCTTCCCTCTGCTCCTCCCTCATTTGTTTCGCCTCCTCTTTCTCACCTGCTTCAGCAGCCTTGCTTTTGCCAGCTTGAGATGCTTCCAGTTGACACAATAGAAATGCCGAAAAGGGATGGGAGACTTTTGACCCCGCACGGCCAACTGCGGAGAAGGTGAGAAGAAGGGGGGGAGGAGGAGGAGGAGGAGCGAACATCAAGAGGCAGAAGAGGAGGAAGGATATGCAGTCACAAGGATCATCATGGGAAGACGAGAAGGGTGAGACAGCAAACTGGACAGGAGGAGGAGGAAGAGAGGAGATGTGAGTGCCAGACAAACACCTGCAATGAGCTGAAGTGAGAGGTGAGGAGGTTCTGAAGCGTGTACGAGAAGCTCTTCTTCTCCTCGAGGAGAAACCGGACGTCGTCCACCGACAACATACAGAGCTCGCACATAGTCAGAGCGCATGCAGTGCGGGTTCTCCTCCCAGTGGGAGAGAGGCCGAAGATGGCGTTCTCCCCGAAGATCGCTCCCTTCTCCGCTATCATGAGCGTCGACGACTTCTTGCTCAGTTCCACTCGGCCGATGCGAACGACGTAGAGATGGGTCGGAACTTCGTCCTCCTTCATAATGATGGATCCCGGGGACACGAAGCTGAGCCGCAGGTGGTAGCAAATCTCCTGCTGCACGTCCTCGTCGCACATGGCGAAGAGTGGGACGGTCTTGACCACGTCTCTGCGCAAGGAGGGGGAAGAAATCAAAGAGGGAGGAAACAAGAAGGTGGATGAAAATGGGCGAAGAAGGACGGGACGATATAAGGAAGTCATGGTAACGATGGATGAGGAGGAAGAGGAGAGAAGGAGGAGAAAGGGGGGGAGGAGGAAAGGAGGGGGGGAAGGAGGAGGAGGAGGAGGAAGAGGAAGAGGAGGAGGAGGAGGAGGAGGAGGAGGAGGTCAATCACCTAAATAGCTCAAGATAAATTTTTCTCCTCAGGTCCTTCGGGATGTCTTGTAGAAGGAAAGCCTCGTCGAACATCACGCGGGCTGGGAACTTGACGTAGTAGAACTGAAACAGCTCCTTCCGCAGCCCGAGCGATATCCCCCTCGCCTCCATGAACTCCTGCAGGAACGGCGAGGATCCGTCAGAGGGCGGAGGATGTGAAGAGCAAAGAGGTGAGTATGAGGGAGGAGCGACTAAGGGAATGGAAAAGCGTCAAAACACATGTGGTGGAGGCGAGCAAGGAGACAGATGGAGGAAACCAAGGGAGGAGCCGAAGGTAAGGAGTGATACAAGGATCCAGTCAGACTATGAACAGAATGATGCGGAACAAGAGCACGTTCCGGCAAAACATGGAGGAAGGAGGAGGAGGAGGAGGAGGAGGAGGAAGGGAAACGGACCTGCAGCTCGTCTATCTTCTCCATGAAACGACGAGTGCAAGAGGAAGAGGAGGTGAGAAGAGACGTGATCCTTCCCGTCGTCCACGCAAACATGCCGCATCCCAGGATCATTGTGACTACTGCCAGCGTTCGCTCGTTGGAGGTCGTGGCTGAGATGTCGCCGTAGCCAATCGTCGTCATTGCTGCATGACAGCTCAGAAAGAAGATCAAGGAGGAAGACGAGCGAAGTTCAGCAAAAGGGCGGGAGGACGGACAAGACAGTTCAAGAGGAGGGAAAGAAGAGCGAGGAGGAGGTGGAGGAGGAGGAGGACCACGACCAGGACCAGGACCAGGACCACGACCAGGACTAGTACGAGGACGAGGAGGAAGACGAGGACAAGGACAAGGAGAAAGAGACTTACTCGTGATGGACCAGTAGAAGGCTGTGATCCACTCATAGTAAGCCTCCTGCGGAAGTTTGCTGCTGCCCGCGACGATCCCTTGGTTGACCGTCCAGCCGTCGGGAAAGCCGACCCAGAACCAGAGGCAGCACTGGTAGGAGAAGTGAGTTGAAGAGAAGATATGAGAAGTGGGACTAGAGGAAGGGGAGGGAGAGGAAGGGAGGAAGCGACCGGCGGGAGTTTGTTGCCTTACCATCCAGTGAGCAAATACCATGATGATGACGATGAGCTTAATGAGAGGATAGATGAAGCGCAAGGAGCGGTAATCTCCTCCTAGGCGCAGCACGCGGGCCTCCAGCCGATTCATGCCTGACAACTTGAGAAGACGAAAAAGACGCAGGGCCTTGAGCTCCTGGGGGGCGCTAGGGATGATACACTGGAGATTGAAATGAGAAGAGCTAGGAAGAGAAAACAAGGCAAACGAGCAGGCAGGAACGAAAGATGCTGGACAGGGGATCGGAAGAGGAGACAGAGGAGACACCGGGAGGGTGAATGAAACAATGAGATCGAAACGCGGAGGAAGAAGAGGCGGAGGAGGCGGAGGAGGAGAGGGGGCAAGATGAAGTCATACGTCGATGTAGTGCCAGGGAATTTGCCCGAAAGCATCATAGATGAACTCGTTCTTAAGGTAGAGGTCGCGAATCTCCTGCAGGTCATCCACCAGGACCCAACGCTGAGTGCAACGTGAGCATGACAAGGAGGAAGAAAGAAAATTGCAACAGCAGCAGCACCTGCAGCCCGTCCGAGATCAGCACCCATCTTGCTGTATAGAAGTGCAGCACGATGTCACAGCAGAAGACAAAATCTGTGATGACGTCCAACCCAGCTAACCATCGGGTCTCGCTGTCTGTACCGTAGAACACGCATTGTCCTGCGTTCTTGATGACTCCAGCGAACCCGACGACGTAAGGGACCGTCCCTGCAACATACAAGCAGGAAAGCACGGAGAGCACATCGAACAATATCAGCACGATCGAGCTCTTACGCCCTGACAACCCCTCCACGCCCCATGGAAAGTCCGGGTAGAAGAGAGCCGTCCTGCCCTGCTCTTCCTTTTCGATGTCCTTATCGTTGTCATGGTTGGCATCTTCATATTCAGAAAGGTTCTGAGATGACGCCGCAAACAAATGAACAGTCTTCTCTCGCTTTATGGTCTTGCTCCGCTTCATCGCAGCGCTGCCGTTCGCGGCATGCTCTTCGGCGCCATTGAAGAGATTGCTGAAGGCGATCTTCGGCGTGATGTTCGCTTCCATCGCTTAATCTGTCCTCTGCTTCTGCCCCGCGCTGTCAAGACTCCATGTGCTTCCTCCTTCTCTTGAACCCATCTTGTCCTCTCCCCCTCCGTCCCGTCTCCTCCCCTCCCCTCCCCTCCCGTCTCCTCTCCTCTCCTCTCAGTCTCCTCTCCTCTCAGTCTCCTCTCCTCTCCTCTCCTTCTTGCAACCAAGCCGATACTGATCAGATCATTGTCTGCCATAACCCACAGACATCATGGGCAGAAGGGCTTTCATAGCCCGATCCCAATTCAGTGTCTCTGTTCACGAGCTCATGAAATTTCAAATTTTAGGATTTAAATTCAGAATTTTGCTAGAGGCTCCGACTATCCAAGTTGAGTACAAAAAGTGATTCTAGAGATCACAGCGACCTTCGAAATAAATGTCAAAACTTGAATAGTTTCACAAACTTTTCAAATTTTGAACATTGTAATTTGGTTTTCTAGCCGTTCATTGTCGCACCGGCACCTGACAAGCTTGACCACCTAAAAAAAAGTCACTCGGACCCGCATGTATGATTGGGGAATGGTCATCCCGGCCGCGCATTTAAGTAAAGTTATGAGTTAATTTTGGGGGACAGCAATCGGCCTTATAAGAGTTGGTTGTTGCTGTCTTTTCTCTTCAAGCTCGCCTGTGCGACAGTCACGGTCCTTTTTTACTCAAAGTTAAGTCAAAATCATTACGACCCAGGGGGTTCCGGTTCAGTTACAGCCTCACTCGACATAGTAACCGTGAGTTACCGCAGGAGTTACCGGGCTGCCCGGGGGTAGGGGATGAGGGGTGCCAAGTGAGACCGGATCTATTTCGGGCGAATGGCGGGGATGAAGGTTGGCGACATGGAGCTGGGCTATGGGAGCTTCCAAGTGGAGGGAAGGTGAGAGGAGGAGGAGGAGGAGGAGGAGGAGATCAAGGAGGAGGAGAGTGAGGTGATCAAGGAAGGAGGATAGAGTGAAGGAGCGGGGATGCAACGGTCAAACTTCTGCCGATTCGCGCACCTTATGTTATTGCCAGGTCGAATTGGAAGAGAAAAGCTTTCCTTGTCGCCATGGGCACCGCCATGACTGCCCTGATGATTCTTCTTGGTCTTGATCAATCGCATGAGATCTCAGAACCAACAAGACAAACCCTCTCGACTCAAAGAGTGAGCACTCCTCTGTACTCCTGGCAAATTCTCCCCCACACTGCTCAAATTTTGCCCATGTTTGCTCCCATACTGCTTATCATTGCGACTTGCTTCTCATGCTGTCACAGCTCTTTGCGGCTGATAACGTTGCGATGAATGGCGGCACCAGCGGCGTTGCAGCAAGCGTATGCTCTTGCTGTGATTGTTGTCAGGGTCTTAATTACCACCTGCAGAAAGGAGATGCTTCCGACTTCATGAACAGCGCTGACCTGGGTGACTACGTTGATGCTATCATCGGTCCTGCACCCTCTGGGTTGACGGAAGGAGGATACAAGAAACGTGGAAGTATCGCTGTCTCCAAGATCGACGCAGCAGGCACTGGCTCTTCGCCCCATCTCCCTTGTGTTCCTTGCTCGTTCCCTTCACTCTTGTCTCTTTGTTCTAGCTATCTCTCGGTCCCTCAAACTATCTCTCTCTCTCCTGCTCTTCCTACCTGCCTATCTGCCTTCTTGCCTACTTCCCTTCCTCCTTCCTGCCCTCCTCCCCACCTACCCTCTCGTCCCCCTCCCCTCTCGCCCTCCTCCTCTTCTACCTCTGACCTTGTCCATGCAGGCTTCTACTACTTGAACGTGGAGGGAGAGCCCGGGCATGCCTTGGAGTGCATCCTGCAGGGCTCCGACGGCTACCACAGACACTGGAAGGGATACGGGCAGATTTACACAGGGCCCATCCATGAGGGCAACTACGGAGGGAAGGACTACTTGCAGGTAAGGAGGAAGGGAGGGAGAGGGCGGAGGGTGAGGGTTAGGGAGGACAATGTGCACGCGTGGAGGGGGGCGAGGAGGAGGAGGAGGAACTGACAGGTTTGATCAGATTCAAGATCTTGTTACGGGAGAGGTGGAGTACTTTCGGTTTCGTTTCACTTAATGAATCAAATAGAGCTAAAAATGAGGCACTGCGGCTCCTGCGCGCGAGACTGCTCCATTCTCCTCCAAGTCTGAGCGATCCTGTGCCAGGGACGCAGCACAATGGGGGAAAGGGCCAACTTGACATGCGGGGAGGGCAGTAGGAGATGGAGGGTGCGACGGAGGCTGCAAGGGGGAGGAAAGACTTGTGCGCGGCGAAGCAGCAACAAGTAGCATGGAGCACGTAACAACCGCTGTTCCCCCATGATCTCCACTATAACATGCTAATCATCTCAATCTCTATAACCAAAGTCGTCGTCGTCATCGTCTTGCAACGCCTCCATCATCCCCCTCATCGACCTCGTCACGTCCATGTCGTCCTGGAAGTCCTCCTCCGGCGACAGGTCCATGTTCTTCCTCCTCCCCCCCTGGAACCCTCCGATCGCCATCCCCTCGTCCCTCTCAATCGCTTGCAGCCACTCGGCGTTGTAGATTTGGAACTTCCTGAGGCGGATCTGCTTCGCCCACTCGGGGTCGTACTCCATGACCAGGTCCAGCGTCTGGTCAGCCATCTTGCGAATCTCCGCGTTCTTGTCGTAGAGCAAGTCGACGAAGTACGAGACCACCTGGGTGTGGTTGAGGAGGACGTCTCTCGTCGTCTCGTGCTGCAGGCAGCGGAAGAAGGTGTAGGTGATCTGCAGCACGATCTCGTCGTCCTCCTGCTTGTCCGCCATGAGGTCATAGAGCACGGCGACCAGCTGCGAGTTCGCGAAGATGGGAGCGCACTTGGGGTCGCTGACGCACGTGCCGATGAAGATGACGATCTCGAGCACGATATCATCCTCGCTCGCTCCCTGCGCAAGGTGCATGTGCAGGAAGTTGATCAGGTCGTAGTCGATCAGGATCTGAGAAAAGGGGATCTCGGTCATGGTCATGTTCCCCAGGATCCCCAGCAGCTCCACCAGCAGGTCCGGGTTCTCAGTCTGACGAACGAGAGCCGCCAGGTCGGAGACGAACTCGGCGAAGCGGAGCTTCACGGGCCCGTCGTGCTGGGAGAGGTTGCGCAGCATCTTGGCGAGCAGAGGGTCTTTGGTCTGGAAGAGGCGAGACATGAAGCTGTTGAGGTTCTCCCCCTCCGCCATGGCCTCCGCGTTCCTCACGTTGCCCGCAAGGTTGACGGCGAGGGCGATGAGCGTCTTCTCGACCAACTTCTCGGGGAAGTTCTGGACCATGTTGACAACCATGGGGATGCAGTCGGTGTAGGTGAACATGCTCTTGCACTTGTCGTCCATGGAGATGTGGTAGAGCAGCTTCAAGCTGATGTGCCGAAACTGCGGGCGTTTGAGCATCGTGACGAGCTTGGGGATGATGCCGTCCTTGACCATGTCGGATCGGATCTCCGTGTCGAAGGAGAGGTTGAGCATGAGCCGCATGGCCGCCATTGTCATCTCGTCGCTGTTGTGGGGGAGGAAGCGGATGAGCTCGGAGGAGATGCCGCACTCTCGCATCTCGTCCTTGTTCTCCTTGAAGATGGAGAGCTTCTTGAGGAAAGTGATGGTCTGCAAGAGACAAGTCAACGGGACAGCAGCACGTGTGCGAGACTCCACCAGCATCAGCAGCTCCTCGCTCTTGCGGGACAGCATCTGGACCAGCAGCTTCGTGATCCCCTCTGCGCAGGCTGGATCAGCTCAGGAGCAGGCATGCGGACACATCACTCTTCTTCATCTTCTTCTCGATTGTGATGTCTTCGGCGATGTTGAGTAGGACGTGGATGCAGACAAAGAGCAGTTTGTCCTGTTGCAATCAGTGAGAGAGGAGGAGGAGAAAGACGGGAGGTTTATGGGTGAGAGAGCAAGAGGGAGGGAGTGACAGAAAAGCGGGGATAAGGCAGGCAGGCATGCAAGCATGCAGGCATGCAGGCATGCAGGCATGCAGGCAGGCAGGCAGGCAGGCAGGCAGGCAGGCAGGCAGGCAGGCAGGCAGGCAGGCAGGCAGGCAGGCAGGCAGGCAGGCAGGCAGGCAGGCAGGCATGGGGGGCATGCAAGCACGGGAAGGTGGGAGGGGAAGCAACGGCACGTCCAGCTCTGCTCACCTGCTTTTTCTTGGTGATCTTCAACTTCTTCGCCTCTCGCTCGGCTTCCTCAGGGCTGAGGTCCCTGTAACGGCCAGTCAGTTCACCACAGCGTCACCTGGGCGCGATTGTTCTCACTTGCTCCGATTCGCAAAATCTTCCTTCCTGTGCTGGTCCCTTTTGAGTTCAAGCTCTATCACCTTGACTACCATCTCGCCCATCTTGTAATCTGCATGGAACAGAATCAAGCAAGAAAGGTGGTCAACGCTACAAGGTTGTTCACCTGTCATAAATTGATGGAAGTTGGAAAAATTGGAAAACGCAAAGAATATGTACACGATGTTGATCACAAGATCCATACTTTTCTTGGCTTCTTCTCTGCATCTTTCGTCATCCAAAGGGCCCTGCAAGTTTCAGAATGCCCACCTGAAGATTCGAGTCAAAGCTCCCAGGAATTGTTCGTTGGTAATGAGATGTTCGAGATTATCAGGGTCACGCACGAGCTGCAAGATCATGAAAGTCCCTGCAAACATGCTTCAGTGCAACAGAGAAGGAAGTTGCGGGGGCGTGTTTCAAAGACCTTTGATCTTCTCGTCCATAGATTCCTCGTACAGCATCTCTAGGTATGTTTCAAGGTTGTCCAACGAGATCGTCATCCCATCCATCGAGATCTGACAAGCTCCTTCAGCGCCTCCTCGCAGCTCGCAGAAGTCAGATTCACCTGCGACTCCCCCACGTATCGGTCCAGCGCACTCCTTCTCTGAGCGTTCCACTGAGCTTCCCAGTCGTCCACGTCCTCGGGAGATTTCCCTCCCACTCGTTGCAGAAGTGCTTCAAGGCACTCGACCACCACTCCATGCTTCGACTGAGAAATCAGTTTGCACTTGTCCACAATGTCTTGAGCCACCAAGTTCTGCCCATCGCGGTCAACCATGGCAAACAAGTGGGAGGGACGTCGGCTCACCAGATCGCAATCGTTGTTCAGACTTGTCACTTTCACTTTTTTCACCGCTTTCTTCTTGTCTGATCTCCCATCCTCCCGTATCTGCTCTCCTCGTCAGCCTCGTGCTCACCAGCCTCCACCGTCTTCTCACCTCCTCCACCTCATAGTGAACCAGAAGCGCGGATTCAAGAGGATCAGGCTCGATAGCACCAGGTCGGACTTTTCGCCGCGTCTTCTCTGCCATGGGAGCAAGACTGGGAACACAGAGGTAAGAAGGGCAAGAGAACAAGTAGGTAGTGATTCGTTATGCAAGCTTTGCACAAGGAGAAGAGCAGGAGAGAGAAGCGATGTGGCTGGGTATCCAGACGATTAACTCGGACCAAGACATGTTGAGTTGTTGACGCGATTCGCTGAGAGCTCATTCTGCTTGATAGGAAGTTGCATGATAGGATCTTATCTCGATCTTGCTTGCTCGCCCCCTCCCTTTCAACCCTTTTCTCACGTTGTTCAATGTTTTTCGCTGCATCTTGTGTCTTTCTATGTGCATCGCATGCCATGACTACATCTTTGCCTGCTCCTCTTCTATCCTCCTCTTCTTCCACAAACAGTCTGCCATCGCTACTTCCATTGCCGAAACCGATCACCAATCTCGAACCATTTCCTTCAAAATTTCGAAAAGTTGTAAAAAATCAATACAAAATTGAAATATGAGAGTGGAAAAAAGCAAAACTCCCCAATTCTCAATGGGTGGCAGTTGCCTAAACACTGAAATGAGCTGTATGAAACTTTCAAATTTCAGAACTGATTTTGATGATACAGCCAAAGTTATGGTCTCTTCCAACCAATTGAGGCGGGCCCGCATATGACTCTTCTGGGTTTGTTTCAATGTGTTCGAAACTGTTGTATTTTAATTTGAAATTTGATCGTTGAATATCAACAAGGGATTGAAAAACTGGGGGATCGTTGATCGGGCGCAATGCATCGGGGCGAAGCGACCGCCCATGGCGGAGCAAGCAGCGCCAGCTACATCCTCCTGCTGGGCTTCATGATGCTGCTGGATGTTTCAGCTGCGTTCACTGCGTCACACCCTCCCCACCTACTCGCCTTGAAGGATGTCCGGCCGAGGACAGGCAGAGGAAGATCAATTACTGCGACTAGTGGGTCCCTGAAAGGGTCACGCGCGAATGCTGCGAATATTTTCAGGAATGCAGGCAAAGGAGAAGGAACTTCGTATGAGCTGTTTCGATCTCCCAGTCCCTTGAAGCCAGCGGTTGAAGTGTACATGGAGAAGGACTGTCCTGTATCGAATCAAATCAAGGCCATGCTTTGCTTTGTTCTGGCAGATGTGCGGCACGATCTCGTTGAAATTGATATCAATGAAGCTCTACCGAACATCAACGGAATCCATGAGCGTGTTGCTTATGCCCGGGAGAATGGCACCCCTCAGCTCTACATCTTTGACGGCGTGGTGCATACTCTCGTCGGAAACGATGTTGATTTGAATGAGGAGCTGAACAACGGGAAATTCATGACGAGACTGAAGCTTGCGCATATTCCACAGATCGACACCTTCGACGAGCTAGAAGGGTAATGAACAAGTGAGTTGTAGTTGGTGCAGGATACGGAAGGACAGTGATGTAATTAAAGTAAATCAAGCTCGCTCACGCGATTCTACTTCTCGGCCATTGAGAGGTTGGGTATCCCTAGAGAGCCCGCTGGCAAACTCTCTAAAGACCTGCAGGTCTAGCCTGCTGATGGGCAGCGGATTCTTGAGGACGATCCAGCGAACGTTTTCTGTGCAGGGTTTGCGCGTCCTGGACCCATCGTAGGTGAAGTAGCTCTCGGCGTTGGTGGCAGTCGGGTCGATCCGCTGAGTCTGTCGGGAGAGTCAGAGGTGACGTGCGAGGTGATAGCGCCGTTACCTGTGAGAGAATCTCCAGAGACAGCAAGCCGAAGTCGAGGCGGATAGAAGAAGAGCCCAGCGAAGCCGCTCGGTAAAGAGTCTCCGAGAGTGCGTGAACCTGGGGGGTTGATTTTTCCTCTAGTGCAAACACAACCGCAAAGGCTATTTGACTGCCAGCAGAGTCAACTATAGGAGAACCATACTGAAGCAATTACGTGGAAGTCGACTTTGAGTGAAGAAACAGCTGCAGCTCCATCTCGAAACGCTGACTTGCTATTCGATGCTCGCTTGGTGTGTGAATATACATTAGATCCAGTTCATACACGTGCCCCTCCAAGATGTAGTTCTAAAAGGATATCAGATCCTTGGAGAAAACAAAAATGTAAAATTTCTTACCATCTTCCAATTTCCTTCACGAATCAACATTTCGCTTGGTCCCGATCCGGCAGACATTCGCCGAAACTTTGCTTCCGCAGCATTTGTAATTCTCCAAGAAATGACAGGAAGCTTCTTGTTGACCACGTCGAGCTCAATGTTGATGGGCGATTGTCGCTTCCCGGTCTTGCAAAGATCTGACTCATCTGCATGGGCATGTCGGATGATGATGTCTTGAACTGAAGGCCTCGTCGTGGGATAAATCCTCATCATGCGGTTACCAACCGATTCTTTCATAGGCACACCAACTTTAGCACCATCAAAATCAAACCAAACATCTCAGTCTCACCATCATATCTCTTGTAAGCATTCAACCCCTGAGATAAATCAATGTCAGAAATCAGTTTACGAGTATGAGCGCATCGGACCTGCTCTGACTCGAATGAAACCATATGGTTATCCCGGCTTGGATTATAAAATTCGCTATCATCTGCAGCAGGCAAACATTATGCTATCTGTTGAATCAAGCTGGCAGCTCGCAACCTGACGGAGATTCAGAAACCCTGTAGACCCTGGAGATGCGTCGTCGAGCTCCATCCATACTCCATGGGTACTGAACATGACCAATCAGCTGAATTCAAGAGAAGTCAGTCGAGAGTTACCATCCTTGTCTCTTGGGTCGATTCCACGGGAATCCCGAAAGATGAAGGAGACTGCGAGTACCGATTGTGATGACTACAGGGCAGTTTCACATCGCACCTGTAAATTATGGATATCCATGGCCTTTCTAGCATCTTGAGCAGCTTGTTCAGCTGGCAAGAATGAAATCATGCGAGAAGATGGATGATGTACATGGAGATCGGCACCAGCAGTCGTGGCTTTGAGAAAGAGCCTCTGCTCAGCAGCTTTCCTTTGCACCTGAAGGGAAAAGCTGAATGAGCTTCATAACAGAAGGGGAGCACTTGTTTTACAACCGCATTGTCCTCATTCACGTAGACCATGGCGAGCTGAGTCTCTCCTGCTGGCGTCTCTCCCCGCGCAAGCATCACGGCTAAGAGGAAAACAAGGCCCAAGCATCCCACGCTCACTCTCAGCCATGTTCGGCTCTTCTCGCTGAAACTTTCATGTCTCCTTGCGGGTACTGTACAGTGACTGATGACAGGATAACGGCTTGACGACTCCTCTCGCCCCATCTCCTCCTCGCGATCACTCACGGAGCCAGCCATGGCGGCCTGGGACACCCGAAAATAGAACCGTACGGTACTGGCTAGGCTGTAGGCCGGCCCGGAGTGCCTGAGTGGCTCCGAGTCATCCATGACGCCGGCCCGGAGTCGGATCGGACTGGTCACCCCAGTGAGGGCCGCGTCACGCGGCCGCGCACCATCGAGTCACAGAGTCATGGCATGGCCGCGCCCGCCCCGGGCCGCGCCCCGGGGGCCGGGCGCCGCGCCCGCGCCGCCGGGCCTGTTCACCCGGTCACTGGGAGTGACTCGCGGCCCGGAAGGGCCGCGCCGCTTCCGGGCCGGGTGACCGGGTGATGGTGACGGTGTCGGTGTCGGACCGTCCGACTGTGCGGTGACGGGCGGGTGACGGTGATGATAGTAGGACGCCCCGGTGATGCTGACCCCGCGTCGGAGTCACGGCGTTCCGGGGCCCGGTGACTCGGGCCGTGTGACGACACTGCCAGGCTGTGACAGGTTAGTCACTGAGTGCGGCAGTGGATCCGAGTCAGATCGGCGGATTCACTCACTGACAGTGAGCTCTCCCATTGAGTCACCCCGGAGTCCGACCGTCTGGACGGTCGGAAGAGCCTGTGCCACGGCTGAGCCTCGGAGCCTCGGAGCCTCGCCGGGACTCGTTGAACTGAGGGCCCCCGGGCCCGGCCACCCGGCGTTGCAGACGTGCAGTTGTTGTACCTAGAGGCAAGAAGGGGGGTGGGGGTGATAATAGGAATCTGTAACCTAGGGGTAGATCTACCTAACACGGGTACTTTTGATGAGTTTCACAGGGGTGTGATGCGTACATGGACCTAGGGGTGGTGGGGTGCATGGATGATTTTCAGAGGGCAGGGTGGTGCGACAGATTGCAAGCCTGTTGCGCCTCATGTTGAAGGGAGACGTGAATCAGATGGTTCGATGCGAGGCAGGAGGAGGAGGAGAGGAGGAGAGGAGGAGAGGAGGAGAGGAGGAGAGGAGGAGAGGAGGAGAGGAGGAGAGGAGGAGAGGAGGAGAGGAGGAGAGGAGGAGAGGAGGAGAGGAGGAGAGGAGGAGAGGAGGAGAGGAGGAGAGGAGGAGAGGAGGAGAGGAGGAGAGGAGGAGAGGAGGAGAGGAGGAGAGGAGGAGAGGAAAGGAGGAGATGAGGAGGAGAGTGAGATTCTCTGCACGGGACAGCTTTGACTCTGTTCAGTGGAACTGAAGGGATCCGTCGTAAGAGAGAACGTAAGGAGACGGGGAGGAATGGTAGCAGAGATGAGATGATGCCAACTGAATGAAAACAGCGTACCGAATACATGGAAATAGGTTTATGATCACTGAACAAAGAGAATGATGGGAGTGCTCAGGTGCAATTTTACATGTTGAGCTTCTGGACTGTTGCGTCGACATGGCTTTTGGCTCCGACCTCCTGCGTTCATGTTTGCTAACGGCTACAACGACCAGGATCATTTCAAGAAGTTGAAGTCACAACTCGTAGCGCAATGGTCAAAGCGTCCATGTCAGGCATTGCGAGCTTCATGAGTAGGTGGGTAGAACCCATGCTCGTTTATCTTACATCACTACTCTCTTCCATCTCATATCAATACACGGATCTTTTCAGAAGACTGAAGAACATCAACTGAATTTTCTCTCGAACAGCATCCTACTTGCTCTAACCATGGCGGAACGCTGTGCAGGATTTTCGATGAATGTAATCGCACGCCCCTTGTGCTGTGCTCTACTAGCAGAAATTGATTATCAATGTGCTTCCTGCCCAGGTCAACCCCGTTACAAGCAATCTAAGGCTTAGGACTTGCTGTTCTCAAGGGTTTGGAGGGCGAGCCAGGCTTCCTTTGAGGTTTGGTTTGAGCATGACAGACGACAATCTCACATGCCCCTGCCAGCAGGCACCAGGCAGGGCAGTTGAGAATGCAGACATCTGCTGACACGGCGCCTGAGGAGAACATGTCAGCAGTGATGCGTGGTGAGCTGAGAGTCTTGACCACCTTTGGGTTCTAAGATCAATGACTCATTACTGCAGCCCGTCTGGTCAGCGGGCGATCAAACGTGAGTCCTGCACTTGAGGAACCCGTCTAATCTCACCGACCTCTTCAGTCTGAAGTGCTTGGCGACGCGATAGCGTCTGCTCTGCGAGATGCCTCGAAACAGGTCTCGGTTGTTGGCTGCTGCGACTCCTAGTCACAGTGCGAGACAGCTTCCGGAAGGGACGGTCCCTTCGTTTTGCTTCTTGTTCGTAAGCTCCAGTTACTGCAACGTTGGAGAAGCTGGGGGAGTTCTTGTCACCGAAGGTACGCAGATCGGCAGTAGCATGTTCACTGAACCAACCATGTTCTTATGCTCGTGTTTGTTGTAGACACAAGGGTGTTTCAGCAAGGATCCGAGAAGTATTCCCGTGCCATGTCATTGATCAGCCGCAACTTCCTGCAAAGAGGATGGAACGATGTTCCGATAGCCGGGTGCAGCATGTTGCCATGGGGTTTACATCGGGCCTGACACGTGAGAACAAAGCTGCTCAGTCGGAGGATCCATCCTCGGGACGACAGAGAACGTGGGCAAGGACAGCGGAGTCTGCGTTGTGCTAGCGAACCTCCCTGACAGTGAGGTGAGTTGTCAAACGCTCCCTCTTAGTCCATGCAAGTGACAGGATGTTTGCAGGTGTCTCCATTCTTCGTGAAGCCAGAGGTATCAGCATTGTTCTTATAAAAGAGATTAATGCGTTGTGGCAGTCGTTCAACGACGGTTGGAGGCAGGCGTGTGCCAACAGTCTGATCCGCCATTTGTGACGTTTCACATCACTCAGTCCGATTGGGAGAAAGCCGGCATCTCCGCATCCTTCCAGCCGAGTCAGGGAGCGAGTGGTGATGACGCTGTACGTTGCCACTATGAATTGGAATCATCGTTTGACCTCCATTTGACCCCAATCGCAGGTTCTGTTCATGTTCGGCCACCCAGAGGAGTCGACCTTCATCCGCAAAGTGAGAGTTGGCAGCTTTCAGCTCAGTCTCCTCACTGTTTGATGTATTCAGGTACTCGACAGCCTCGACTTCGTTTTCCCCTCCGCCCGCAAGGCAATCTAGAGATCATCTGCCGTCATGATCGGCCGCAGCCTGGCAGCTCAACTTGTGCGCAGATCGGGGCGCTGGCTGGACGGACGATGGACACCCACGAGAGAGAGTTCTTCTTCCTCCCCTCTCTCAAGGTAGAGCCTGACGCCTCTGTCTTCTTGTCGCGCATTCATCAACGGCAGGACGTCAAAGACATATCATCGCTGGAGCAGTGTTGCTTTTCCGAGGGGCTGGCAGGAATCGCCTTCAGAGGAGGTGAGGGAGTGTGTGCATTGCAGCGCCTGACTTGACTCTTCACTCGCAGGGATAGCGGCTGACGCTGTGGTCGCCCAGGGATCAAGACCCATCGGTCCCAACTACGAGGTGGCTGGCAAGTGAGGAAGAATGACAGGCGTCAACTTGACTTTCAGGTCCTGGGCACCGAGATGAACGGAACGATCATCACCCGGATGAGAGAGATTGGCACGACGGAGGAGGCGGAGGGAGCGCCCATGGTGCTCTTTGAGCTCGCCGTCTTTGCTGGAACCATCGACCAGCAAAGCTTCATCGAGTCCACGAGGGTCTGGGTCAAAGGGGAAGAGACCGGCTCTGACTCTCTTGTTCAGTTCCTCGCTCTCGGCACTTCTCTCACTCCTCTAGGTTGACTCTCCTTTGACCTCCTCCTCACACTGAGAAGCTTGCAGAGGACGAGGCGGACAAGCACCAGTACATCGTCCGGCCCATCTTGAACGTGGAGAAGGATGGGCCCGTCTTCCTGGCAGGTCTGTGCAAGACAAAGCGCCCTGCAGCTTCAGTCCGTATGGTGAAATCCTTTTGAATTGCAGATGGTGTGCGAGTGGGGCAGGTTGTTAGGTTTCACATCAGAGATGCGGCGAATGCTGGTGAGTAAGTCAATGCCGGTGACAAGTTGTTGACCTCATGCGCAGAACAAGAGCTGCAGCAACTGAGGATGAGATGGAAGCTCGAAGTAAGAAAATCCCTACTCCTGCTCTCCCTCCCTCTCGGCTGTTGGTTCTGAATGTCCCTCTTTCTCTAGAGAAACTCTCGCAAGGTCGACAAGAAACTTCCAGCTGGGGCTCTGCTGTTTGCCGACCAGGTCAACATATCATGGCAAGATCTCTTGGCTGATTCAGCACGTGCAGGCAAGAGGGCCGCAACTGTATGGGAGAGAGAATGTGGAGAACGCAGGGTAAGTGAAGAAGGGTCAAAGATTGCATTCAAGACTAATGCATGCTCGCAGCTTCGTTCAAGATTTTCCAGGTGAGATGAAGCCGAGACGTGTTAGTTTGCGGTCCAGCTCTGAAACAGCTGGAAGATGTTCCTCTTGGAGGAGGATACTTCGACGGGGTCATTGGGCAACTTCCAAACTTCCAGGACAAGAACAAGGTCGATTTTCCGTCCTTCCCTTCAGCTCCATGTGACACTCCCAGCAGGCTCCTCTCCTGTTGGATGCCGACAAGAAACCGCAGAGCACAGGAGTTCTCTTCGACCAGGCTCGACCTCCAACCTCCTTGCTTGACCTCCACCCTCCTTGCTTGACCTCAACTCTCCTTGCTTGACCTCCACTCTCCTTGCTCGCCCTCAACTCTCTTTACTTTTCTACACTCCTGACTGTCATGGCAGCTGGAGAGGGGGACGTATGTGCACACCATGGGCAGCGCGTTTCTTCTCCTCTATGGGCAGGTCAGTGTGCTGTGCGCGGTAGGATGCACCTGAGAGTGAGAGCAGGGGCAGCAAGAGAGCTGAGCTGAGCTACCGGCATGCCCCCAGGAGGACCTCTGCTGCAGGAGCCCTGGCGCGTTAGGTCGCTCAGCAGTAGCTCGGGAGGTCAGGCGTCTTGTGTCGATCAAACGTTGACAAACTTCATGAGCGTCTCCACATCGCGCACGAGCTTGAACTGACACTCAGTGGCCGGGCTGAGAGGAGGAATGCTCCCGCGGGCCCGCTTGTCGACCAGCCTCCTCGTGTTGTGAAGATACTGTGTAATGTACAGGGACTCGTTGGCTCCCAGCCTGTAGAAGATCTGCAAGATCGCAGCGACGTACGTGCCTGTCCTGCCATGGCCGCCGGCGCAGTGCAAGTAGACCTTGCGACCATGAAGGATGAAGTTGATAATACCCGTGAGATGCTCGATGAACTTGCGGTGGGATGGAACTGAGCCGTCGGGGATCGGGAGGTGGACGAATGTTTTGTCGGAGCCAGCAAGGGGAGCATACCTAGGCCGGTTGCTGACAACCTCCTCCTCCTCCTGCAGGCAGATGAACGTGTCGATCCCGTCCGACAGGATCCTATCCATGTTCTCCTTCGCTTCCTGGAAAGTACTGAAGTTGACTCCATCATGGCCCGGGTAAGGGCCGCAGAGCAAGCGGGACGGGAGGACCCAGTTGGAGTAGGGGCAGGAAGGGCTGCTTCCTAAGTCCTCAGGGCTCCCCAGAGCCAGCCCTTGAGCAGCCCGCGCGGCCTCGACAAACTGCCGCATGCCCATCAAGCTAGCGAACACCTCCCTAGAGTGAAGTTTCGGATGGGGGGTGAAAAGTGAGGGGTGGGGTCTTCGGGAGACACGGTGAAATCCCAACAAATTTAGTCAAAGAGGGGGTAGGGTCCTAATGACAATTGATAGAATTCAGGTGGTAGGGGTGGTTGGAAGGGGAAGGAGGGGGTTGCGCCTCCTTCAGCTATGCAGAGTTTGAGATACGTCGGGAAGGGGAAGACAGGCAGGGGAGAGATGAGGAGAGTCTGCGACCAGACTGCCCGATGCCTTAGCATCCTGAGAGGAACCCACGGCGCAATGCTAGCTTCGCCGGCAAAGAATACAGCAGGCGGTGGAAGGTGGCGGGAACGGTGGTCCGTAATGTGGACGAGGGACATGAAGGTTGGAAATATGTCCCAGCAGCATGAAGAGCAGTGGTCAGGAGGAGGGAGGAGCGAGGATGGACGGGTGAGTTCGATGTGGGATGGGACGTTTCTCCTTGCGACATGACGTCTGTATGACAGGAGAGGATGCGGAGGGCGCGGGGTTTGATGGGTCTGTTGGGGATCAACTTTCTGGGGAGCAAAGAGGAGAAGGAGGAGAAGGAGCTCATTGAAAGGCTGGAGGATCTCTTCAAGCAAGGGAAGCACAAGGAGATCCAGGTGAGATGGCTACCAGCGACATACTGAAGTGACTCTGTCGGTCGCAGGAGGTGATTGAAGGAAGCAAATTGTACAAGGAAGGAAACGTGCACGTGTGCTGGAGACTGGCAAGGGCGTACTACAACCTCTCGGTGACGAACCATGGCGGGAGCTCCAGGACTGAGAGAGCCGTCGGCAGGAAGAGGAGAAGGAGAAGGACGTGCAGAAGGCCAAGGTGGACGAAGCCATGGCAATAATCCAGCAGGTCGGTTCTTGTTCCTGACGAGTTGCGGACGAGCCTTACACGAGCATCCGCAGGCCATGGAGAACAACCAGGAAGACTTCGCCGTGCTCAAGTGGTACGGGATCATCCTCAACCGTCTCAGCGAGTTCCAGGCAAGCAGAGGGGAGGAGGGCGAGGGCAAGTGACTTACTGTTGGGCAGGGAACGTCCGCAACGATCAAGAACAGCTACAAGATCAGAGAGCTTTGGGAGAAGGTTCGTCCTCATCTTTTATCCCCTCCTCCCTCCCCCTCCTCCTCTCTCCTCCCCCTCCTCCGTCTCTCTGTTTGCTTTTGCCCATAGTTGTAATTCTGCTCCTCCTCCTGTCCCCCTGCTCCTCTTGCTGCTCCACCTTTGCAGCTGCGGCCGTCACTAACTCCCCAGCCAGGCAGCAGCGTTGAACCCCGAGGACGCGACCACCCGCTATCTCATCGGGGAGTGGAGCTTCAGCGTCGCCGACATCACCTTTGTGAACCGGCAAATCGCCTCCGCAATCTTCGCGACCCCCCCCACCTCCTCCTTCGAAGAGGCACTGCAGCACTTCATGCATGCCGAAAAGATCTCGGCAAGCAGCTTTTCCTCCTCCTCGCCTCCTCCGTTCATCGTTCGTCCCTTCCCTCTGCTTCCTGCCCTGCCTGTCCTGCTTCCCTCCTCTGATATGTCTTCTCTCCCCCCTCCACATGGCCCCTCCTCCCTCCCCTCTCTTTCTTTCTCTCTCCTCCTCGCCCTTGCTCATAAAATCGCAGCCGGGCTTCTGGAGCAAGAACCAGCTGATGATCGCCAAGTGCTACGTCAAGCTGGAGAAGTTTGAGGATGCGAAGCTCTGGTTGGCGCGGGTCATCGAGGTAAGGCAAACCTTCCTCAAGCTCCTTTCCGCTCCTCTCCTTTCCCACCCTCAGTTTTCTTTCCTGCCTCCCTTTTTCCTTCTCCTCCTTTGTCCCTTCCTCTCCTGCCTTCTCGCTTCTCCTCATCCGACCCTTCTTCTCCTTCTTCCGTTCTGCTCCTCTCACTCTCAATCTCTCGTCTGATGTCGAACCTACAGCGTGCCGTCGCAAACCAGGAGGATCAAGAATGTCAGGATGACGCCAAAGATCTCTTGAAGAAGCTCAACAAGCTGCCCAAGTAAATGAGGGAGAGAACTTCTGCTTCTTGTCTTCATTTCATTTCACGTCACTTCTTCCAGCGGTCTTTGCCGGCACAGAGGGCATGACGAATTATGTCGCAACAACCACTCATCCACACACTGCCTGTTGGCAACAATTACGAGCTCCTTTCCCCCTTCCTCTCCTCCCCCTTCCTCCCCATCTCTTGCCCTTTCCTCTTCTCTCTTCCTTTCCCTCCCCTTGCTGCTCTCCCTCTCCCTCCCTTCCCCAATTCCTTCTCCCTCCTCCAAAATTCTTCCCCCTCCCCCCGCAGTTTCCCTCGTATCTCATCTTCTGACATACCTATGAAACACATGCTCGCACCAGTCCAATCTTCGCAGCAGGACCTTCTTCTTCACCTCAATCAGCTCACTTGCACATATCGCGCAGCTCTCCTTCCGCAGCCGCCTGCAACAAGACTCGTCCAGCTGCCTGCCAGCATGGAGCGCGATCCTCTTGTGATCTAGTCTACCCCGCGTGAAGGGAATCAGAGTCGTCAAATCATCCAGAGCCTCCTGCTCTAGCACAGCTCGCTCTTCTGCTGGACTCTGCCCCCCTGCTGAGCCTTCAGGACCCTCAAACAGCCTTCTATGCTCCTCCACCAGCACCAGTTCCAGCAGGTAGTAGCAGCTTCCTTGCACCTTCCCACACGTTCACACAAGGAAGAAGGTAGGACTAGAGGTCCTACCATCATAGCGAAGAGAACGCCGAGAGTCGCATCAAGCTTTCCTCCGACGAATCCCATGTAGAGAGCTGGGATGGACCAGGCAACGTAGCTGGTGCAAATGGACCACAATCTGAGACAACAAGTCAGGACAAGTCATGAAAGTCAGGACAAGTCAGGACAAGTCAGTCTGTCAGTGGACTCACAACAGCACAAGGATGCATTCGCTCTGCTTCTGAAAAGTTCCTCTCAACCGCCAGTCCGCCAACACCAGCCAGGCAACGCTCTCAACGACCACAATCAGCAGGTAGGTGCCTGCACACTGTCAGTCTCCCGCTCGCTCTCCCCTTCCCATCTCTTCACCTAGATCCCCCGGCAGACTGTCGATGGTCACGACCATCCCTGGGAAGACGATGTTAAGGATGACGAGGGTGCTGACCCACTCGCCGACGGACGTCGGCGCGACTTTCTGGGTGAGAGTGCACAGAAAGTAGGCGACGTTGGTCCCCACGACCACCGTGTTAAAGACGAGGTTGAAATCGAACAAGAGAAACTTCTGCTTGACTTTGTTCCTGCTGAAGAGAGACGTTCCTTGAGCCTCGTTGCTGCTGTTGCGATCATCCGTTGACGATGACTGCACATGGCAATGTTGCATCATGCTATCAAAATCCGAGGTCTCCGTGATGGCCGGAGCAGAGCCTCGCTGTCCACTTGAACACGCGTTCTTGATCACCGTCGAAGGCAGCTCGACTAGTTCAACAGTCTCCTTCATTGCTTGCAGCGGCACAGAGGTGCTGAGGTTGGGCTGGCAGCAGCAGCATGCTGGCATGCTAGTCAGAGCCATGAGTGCCACTAGCGCAGCCTTGTTGGTCGCAACTCTCCTATGCTTCAGCCATATCCCCGTCTTCCGCCTGATCAGCTGTGACCTCTCCCGAAGGGTGTGCCTCTGTTGCCTGGAGCGAATGTGAGTGAAAGAAAGCAAGAGGGGGAAGGCATGGAAGGGGAGCACAGGGGAAAGAGAGTAGAGACAACAGATCGCATTAGAAACACTTCAGAAAAGGAGTGAAATGCGGGAGTAGAAGAGGAGGAGAAGAGAAAAAGAGAAGGAGAAGAGAAGGAGGAGAGGAGAGGAAGCAAAAAAGGAGGAGAAAAGGAGGAGAGGAGGAGGAGAGGAGGAGGAGTTGAGGAGGAGAAGAGAAGAGGAGAGGAGGAGAAGAGAAGAGGAGGAGAAGAGAAGAAGAAGAAGAAGAGAAGAAGAAGAAGAGGAGGAGGAGGAGGAGGAGAGGAGAGAGAGGAGGAGGAGGAGGAGGAGGA